TGCTCATGTTACAGGTCACTGCGGTGTGAGCTGGAAGGTGCATTCTGTCCCCAGCTCCTCCCTTCTCTCTCTGCTTCCTGGCTGCTGTGGGGTGAGGGCTGTCCTCCGCTGGGCCTGCCCACCATGATGTTTCTGGAGCCAGTCAACCATGGGCTGAGTCCCTCCAAACCACAAGCCACATTACACTTCTCCTTTAGGTCACCAGCGGCTGATATTTTGTTGCAGAGACAGGAAACCTGAGTAATGACCCACCACAGCAGGGAGCACATTCCTGCAAACCCTCCCCAAAGTGACTCCCTCTGCCACAGCAGTGGGCTGCTGTTTGGCAGTGCAGGGGTCCAGGCGGGCGCTGGGGGTATGTGCCAGTCTACGGCACAACAAAGCGGCCCACCACTGTGCTGGAGAGCAGAGACCCCAACAAGGATGGAACAGATGCACGTGGTCCATCTTCCCCCCAAACCGTCTTTTGCTTCTGTGCTTTGCTATTTACTGCTGTAGACCAGTTCCTCAGCAAGGATGGGCAGCAGCTTCGGTCGTGTGGCCAGCAAGGCACCCTTGTGCTCCTGCATTCACCGCGCTGCACTGTGCGTTGCACCCTTTGGGCTGCCAGCTCCTCTCAGTCTTAGGTGGGTGCTTTTCTCACTCTGCTCGGGAGGCTCACAGGACAGATGCAAGGGTCCCATGGTCTCCATCTCTCCGTCAAGGGCGCCAGTCCCCACCAGAGCCCACCTCCTGCCAGCTCCTCTGCCCCAGCAGCACCAGCCTGGGGTCCACGCCTTCAACACACATTGGAGGTCCAGACTGTGGCCAGGCATTGGGCAGCAGCTCCCGGGGGGCCGGCAATGCACTGGACGGGGACCTGCAGTGGCATGTTGGCGGTGCTCAGGGGCCCCGCCTCTCAGGGCAGTGATGAGACGTCAACCTCGGGCCCACTTCCTCACAGGTGCAAACAAGGGGTGGTGGGTATGGTGGGCAGGAGCTCCAGCTGGCACACTGTGAGGTGTGTGTCTTCATCACAGCAGGCTGCCCGGCACTACAGCGTCAAGGCCCAGGGCACATGCCTGGAACTACTTTTCCCCCTGGTGGCCCTGGGGGCACAGGGCTCCCACTCACCATGGCAGCGGCCGTACCTCAGAACCAAGGTCCATGGGGCACCCCTACTTTCACCTACTCTGGGTGCCCAATGGAGTGGGGCACAGGGACCCCAGAGGCCACCTGCTCCTGATGCCCAGGCCACAGCATTCTTGGTTGCAGCGGTGGCTGAGACACCTGCGTGCACCCTCGGGAGTGCGCCCTGAATGGGGTCTGCAGTTCTGTCTCCACCTCTGGCAAACAGTGCCGGGCACTCAGAGCCCAGGATCCACTGAGAATAGTGTGTCCTGTCCCCAGGCCCTGGGCAGATGTGGGACCACCTCTCCCTCTCCATGAGGGACTCTGGCCCTGCCTGGTCCTCGGAGGCATGACCAACCTCAGCTAGGGCTGGAAGCGGCCACACATCTCAGGAAAAGAACAAAGTTGCTGCAGCTAGAGACTGTGGAGAGGTGGAGGGGCAGGGCGGCGTGGCCAGCACAGAGTGCCCTGTGTGCCCGGATGGCTGCGACCGACAGCTGGGGTCGCGGGAGGCAGCAGCTGCCACCAGGGGGCACCTCTAGTTCTGCTCCCCAACCTGGAGGCCAGGTCCCCTCCTGGTTTCAGAACTCTGTGCTGTGAGTCCTGCCAGGCCAGTGCCAGCCATAGGCTCTTTGGGGACTGGCCAGGAGGGCTGTTGCTCCTGGAAGCCCCCCAAACCCTCCATAATCGGGGCAAGACTGGTTCAGAAGTTTCTGGTCATCCTAGACCTCAGCAGATGACAAAAAGGAGCACTATGTCCCAGCTGAGGGGATGTGCAGTGCCGTCAAGTCCTGGTGGCCCAGGGGTGTCCGTGTGTCCTTGGCCACACACCTCCTCCCGGGAGGGCTGTGGCCCAAAAGGACCCTGCGGGCTGGGTAGATGGATGAAGGCCAAGAGGTGGCCAGGGAGTCTCTCTGAGCAGGACAGGGAGCCCAGAAAGTCTGAGATCTGTGTTTCTAGCACCTCCTATTAGCATGTGATGCTGGGTTTCTACCCAGGATCATCGTGGGAAATCTTTAAAAAATGCTTCTTGGGCCAGGGATGTAGCTCAGCAGCACAGTGCCTGCCTGGCAAGGACGAGGTCGTGAGTTCAATTCCCAGTACCAGAAAAAACCCCCCCAAAAACCCCAAAACCATCTTGAGCTAGGCATGGTGGCACATGCCCATCATCCCAGCACTCAGAAGGCTGAGGCAGGAGAATCACTGCAAGTTCAAGGCAGCCTCAGCTACACAGAGAGTTCAAAGTCAGCCTGAACTACATAGTGAGACCTTGTCTCAAAAATACAGAAAACAAAACAAATAAATATAAAATCATTCTTAAATGCAGGGGCTGGGGATATAGCTCAGTGGCACAGGCACCTGCCTGGCAAGCTCAAGGTCCTGAGTTTGATTCCCGGTACCAAAAACAAAACAAAACAAATACATAACTTCTTAAATGCAAAAGGGAAGCCATGTGAAGCACACCTTTTGTGAGCATCGGCCTGCCCGCAGACCTGGGGAAGGTGCTGGGAGTCCCACTGCCTCCTCCCCTCCCTTACCTGGGCCGGCCCTGTCTCCCGCCACCACAGCCACTCAGGGCAATGCTTTCTTCACACAGAAAGCTCCCCCAGCTCTGCAGGCCGCCTGGGCACAGTGGCCTCCACCTTTCCTCACTGGCCACCTTGCCCCTCACAGTCCTGGGCTCGGTCTGTGTCCACGGCTGTGGCCGAAGCCCAGCGTGAGGGCAGCAGGGCCTGCAGCCATGGACGTGCGGGTCCCTCAGCTGCAGTTCAGAGTCTGCACAAATGGGCTCCGCAGCTCTCTCGACTGTGGCTCGCGAGGAGACACAAGACAGAGGCTGGGGGGGGCGGGGCAGGACCAGCGCAGCCCTCAGCTCTCCCGCTACCGCCACGCTTCTCACTCTGGGCAGCGGGGAAGGCTCCGCGCTGGGGAGCCCCAACCCTCTGGAGAACCGCCGCCTCGGCACAGGCTGAGGGCACAGGCAGGGACGCCCTGGGAGCCTCCAGTTGGTTTGACCGTTTCCCTCCTGGCTGCCGGCTCAGCTCCATCTGTCAGCAGCGCCGCCTGGGCGGTCTGGCTCTTTTCCCCTGAAACAGGCTGGCAGCTGAACTGGAGCCAGACGCGCCACACAGCGCTGCCACCACCCCGCCGCCTTGGTCCTGCTCCAGCCACCACCAGCGCCGCATGCCCAGGGGCAGAGGGGCTGCAGGCGCCCAGGCTTCCCCGCTAAGCCTTGTGAGCAGGCTAGCTCGAGCCGTTTGTATTTCTGGAAGAGAATATGGGGTCTCAGTCACTTTCCGTTTCCCTGGAGGAGCTCCTGGGTCCCTTCCCAAAGCTGGGGCAAGATTCTGAGCCTAAGGGAAAGGTGCAGGAAAGCTGAAGGCAAGGGCAAAGAGTGTACCCCAAAAGCCTGTACCCCAACCCCACGCCAGGTGCAGAGCTCTCCACAAGCCCTGCCTAAGGGTCCCCACCAGCTGCACCGACCTGGTATCGAGCCAGGGTCCTCTAAACTCGGGGACTGGGGTGGGCTGAGTGTCCTGACCCTCGGCCTCAGGCTCTGGCCAAGTCCCTGAGACCTGGGGCTGACCTAGGCTTCGTAGGTTGACCAGGAGTTCGTGAGGTCATAGGCATGGAGGTGCGGCTGTCCCTAGGTCAGAGATCAAGGACTCAGTGAGTTCAGCAGCCCATCTAGTCTCTCCCGGGTGAGGAGGTTCCCGGAAGGTGGCAGAAGGAGCTCACAGTCCGAAGGACAGCTGGCAGAGACCCTGTCTCGCCTGCCTTCCTGCTCAAAGCGGCCCCTCTGCAGGGTCCCCCACTCCACCCAGGGCTTCATCTCTGTCTAGGGCACAGGCTTGGACAGGCGTGCCCAGGCCCAGGAGGGGTGCCCTGAGTACGGGGTGAACACCGCAGGGCTGGGACTGAGAAACCCATGCGACCAGGCTCCTTGGCCCTGCGGTGCACCGGTGGGCTTTCTGTCCAGCCCAGACCCCGCTGGACCATCTGCGCTGGAGAAGCCCGCCCGCCCTGGGGCTGCCCTTCCCTTGTGCGGGGTGAACGGCTGTCCCCAGGCGGGGCTTGGATCAAGATTCCCTCCCCGTGGGCCCAGGAGCCCACTGCTCGGTCCGGGCAGCGGGGCGAGACCCGGGGACCCCGCCAGCCCCGCACCCGGGCTCGCGAGGGTTAAGGGGGCGGGGAGCGCGCGGCTCCGCCTCACCGCGGGTCCGAGCGCGCGGGG